GCCGGGGCGGTCTCGCCCCAGCCCCACACAGTGACCCAGGGCGTGGTCCTCCGCGCCTTGCCTCGGGACGTGAGAGGCGGCCGTCTTCCACGCCGCCCGGACAGTCAAAACCTCGCCTGGGTTGGCTGGTGCTTCGTGGGGTGTCCGGGCCCCAGGTCGGGGCATCTTGGCCGCTGTCCTCACCGCGCCCGGTGCCTGCGCCCGGTGTGCTATCCGCCGGTGGGCGGGCGTCCACACGAGCACCACGAATGTGACGCCTGCCGGCCCGAGCGCCCCGGCCTACGGTTTGAGGACTAGCCCGCCTTCTACAAGTTCGCCTGGCCTGGATCTTCTGCGCCCGCCGCCGCCTGAGAGCCCTCGCGCCACTCGCCCTTTTGCGGGCCTAGATCCTGACGCCGGGCGCCTGTTTTTCAAAAAGCGTGGTCGGGCAGGCCGAGCACCTGCCGCTCCTGGCTCGCGCCGGGGTGCGCCATCTCCAAGGCCTGGTGGGCTGCCATGACAGCCTGGTGGCGGCGGGCCTGCCACCGGAAGCTCTCAAGGCCATCCTGGCCGCTCCCCCCCCGCCGGGGGCGGTGTCGACTCTGGCCTTGGTCGCGGCCGGCCGGGGCCAGGCGGGCGGAGGCGCGGGCTTCCCTGGCCGCCGCGGTCGAGGCGGTTCCCAACCTGAAGAGGGCTATCGCCGAGCTTCGGGGCGACATGCTGGCCAAGACGACTCGGGGGCCATACGAGTCACGCCTCAAGACCTGGAACAGGCTCGCCTATGAGGGGCGAGGTGACGCCATGGCCTATCTCGGCGCACGTCCTCGAGGTCATCGGGGCGGGCTTCAAGAAGGGCGCCTACCGCAGCGCCAAGGAGTACTTCCTCGCCCCCTTCAGGCACCAGGAGAACGAGCTTCGCATCGCCGTCGACCCGCTCCTGCGCCGCTTGGCTAATCGGATCATCCGGTCCGTGGTGCGGGGCCTCCCGGGCTCGCGCCTGAAGGAGGCCTTCCCCGTGCTCGCCCTGGTGCCGCTGCCGCTTGTCGCCTTCGCCGACGCCGAGCCCTTCGACATCTCCCGCCCGGCCCACTCGGTGGACGTCTACATCATCGCCGTATGGTTCATGTTGCGCGAGATCGAGGTCGCGGCCGCCCGGGTGGGCGACTTGGTCATCATGCGGGCGGAGGTCGTCCTGGACCTGCCC